CACTAACTTTGTAATTATCTGTATTTCAGCTGAAAAGAAAAATCCAAATTAATGCAACCATTTCAAATTTTTTTACCAAGTCTACTCTATAGGGAAGGTACATATATGAAAGTCTTAGTAATTATTTCAGAAATACTTTTAATGACTTATGAGACTCCCAACATGTCAAGGTCGTGGGTGTTGTAAATAATCCAAATCCTCAGTGGCTGCAGTGACAATCAAATTAGGACTGGAGCTCGTCAATCAAGACTACGGAAACTGAGGAGGTTCAAATACAGACTTACAGGAGTGATATATCCCATCACTGCTCCTTCAAATGTCTTCTTAATATGAGCACAGTATCTCTTTTCTTCCCTCACTATGTCCTTCCACTGAACATCTGCCACAACAAGGCCTCTGTCCACCACAGACAATTCAGCTGGAGAGACCTGAAAGGACGACATACAAGAGGAGACATGTTTCATGTTTAGGGCAAGAGCTAGTATTTGGCTAAGTAAAAAAAGGGAGTCAATACTAATTGAGAGGTAGAAGATATCTGCTGCTTACCTGAGCTTCAACTTTCTGCAACTTCTTTGCATCTGTTTTAGACAGAGTGGCCCCGACCAGCCAGCAGAAAGAGCTGGCATGCAGCAGAAATATTAACGTGCTCTTCATTTTTTTTGAAAGACAGGTAAAAAATATATCAGGCTTGTCAGTGCAAGTGCTTCCTTCCTTCCTCCCCTCCTATCTGCCACAGATGGAGCAGATTAAAAACCAGCATGTCTTGGTGTGTGACGTCACACGAAGCAGGAACCACAAACAGTGCGGTCAGTATTCTGCCTTTGAAAATATAAAGAAAGATTAAAAAAAAATAAACACGAATATTTTTATTTTAACAAGACAGTCGCTTGTTAGAAACTTAGCTCAATGTGCTGGTAGAATAGGTTACTTCCGCGTTCGCAGGCTTTCAAAATAAAGCTAGTGACTCAGCGTCATCCGGGCCGCTAGGAGGCGGTGCTGTTAATTTATAAACCGGATGATGTACATTAAAAGAGAGGATGAGGAAAGTAATTATAGAAAAAGGGAGATAATAGAGTATTAAAGGAATTTTAGGGAGAGATGGACATAGGGAGAAAATTTTGATTATTAATAAAGCATTTTTTATTTTATTTTTACATAACAC